GTCTCTTGGAGGAGAGACAAAACGTTTCATTAGAGAAGAACCCGTGCAGAGGATCTATACAATTTTTTTTCTTTTTAATCATGGCTGTGTTCAGAATAATACTCACTGATTTGGTAGGACATGGTATAAGTTTTTGCTGGAGGCAGCCCATATCTTTAATGGGTCAGATGGCCACAGAGATGCACAGCCCAGTTTGATCCAGACAGCCAGGAGTTGTTGGTTTATTTATATTAATTGTGATTAAAAATAATGATTTGTTCCAGAAACCCAAACTGGGATTAAATACAGCTCAATGACAGAAGTCATCTGATAAAACAGTCAAAAGTCATGATTGTGTTAAATGTTATTTACTGAGACCGGACTCACCGTGCGGGAACGCGTTGGGCTGCACAGCATGCAGAAAGGCGTGCACCAGCTGGAACAGGATCCCGATGGGTCCCGGTTCGTAGTGAGCCAGGGTCTCATAAACTCCCGCAGGCACATAGCCGAAATCCAACTTTCCCGGCGGTGGGAGTCTGCGGGACTCCGTCTCCTGCTGGAGCTCTCCGGACGCGGAGAGCATCGACAGCAGCAGCAGGGTCCCGGGCTTCCACATGGTGTCAAAAATAAAATATAAAAAAAATAAACCGGTCCCGGGCACTGAAACTGGTCCACAACCGCCTGGACTCTCAGGGTCTGATCAAAGAAAGGGAGGGACAGGTGCGATAAATCTTAAAAGAGTTCCGGTGAACGGAGCGCAGCGTCTTTAAGTCCCGCCGCCCGCGGAGCGACTCGCTCGGAGCATCCTTCCCCGCACTCAGAGGCTCCCTGATGGGCACGAACCGTCTCCAGCCCTCGCCTCGTTCAGCCCCACGGAGATGAGCGCGCCTGTCGCTCCGGATCCAGCATCTGAGCACCGACCGACCGACCGGGAGGCGCTGCGTCACGGGAGCGAGCGCGGCTCAGCGCGCGCGCGGCGGGGGGCTCCTCCGATTGGTCCAAAGAGAAGAGCGCGCCTCCTGTCGGTAAGCCGTGGAACAAAATGATGCAGGTGCATCAATGTTTGCTCATTAAGACTTTCATAACTTTTTTTATTTCTACACTTATTMGATGTTTTCAAATATTGTTAAACCGAACAGATGGAGGCAAATATTTATTGAGTTTATTTACAAGAAAATCTTTTAATCAAATTTATTTTGAAGTTTGTGATTTTTAGTCAAGTGACCTTCAAAC